CCTGTATAATATGGGTATTATAATGGATGTGAGTTGCCCTGTATAATATAGGTATTATAATGGATGTGAGTTGTCTTTACAGTATGGACATTATGATGGATGTAAATTGTGTTTTATAACGTGGGCATTATGATGGATGTGAGTTGCCCTGTATATGGCCATTATGATGGATCAGAGCTGGCCTGTACAATGTGGACATGCATAACGATGGATCTGAGTTGGCCTGTACAATGTGGACATTATGATGGATCTAAGTTGTCCTTACAATGTGGGCATTAAGATGGATGTGAGCTTTGCTGTGTAATGTGGGCATTATGATGAATGTGACTTGTACTGTATAAAGTGGGCATTATGATGGATGTGAGTTGTGCTGTATAATGTGGGCATTATGATGGATATTAGTTGCCCTGTATAATATGGGCACTGTGATGGATGTTCGTGAGTTGCGTTGTATAATTTGGGCATTATGATGGATGTGAGTTGTGCTGTATAATGTGTGCATTAAATTATTTATGTGGTTTGAATTACAGTTGTAAATGGTACATTGAATTCTTGAATATTTTTAGGATCTCTTCAAGTTTAAGCATGTGTTCAGCTGTAGGTATAAAAAAAATTCATTATATTATGATGCAAATACATGTATATTTTATTATTCTTTTTACATTTGTTAAATCTGGTCTTGTTTCTATCAGAATTCATTTAAAATAAAAGAAAACAACGTGACAAATACAAAAATGTTCTTTAATCGAGTTCTAAATCCCAATGTATTTGAAATCATGTTTAGTTTTCCCTCCGTGTTATGGTATTCTACCATCAAGATTGAAAGGAATCCTCAGGAACCAAAGAAACGAAAAGCAAGAATTTAATTACACATGAGCCGAAAGAGTATTGATTTAATAGTCTCGGAATAGAACTAAAATCCAGAAAGGAGGATTTTAAAAGTATTAACAAATGGCTAACTTTTATTAATCTGAGTAAGCAACGTAATTTAATGTCGATTTCTATAAATTGTCTAGCTGAAATTTTGCAATATCGACATTGTCATAGGACATCTCTGGTAATATTTATATAGCTCCATGGTGATAGATATTAGTCATGATGAAAATGCATCAGAATTATAAATCTAACTGAAAAACGATATGACTACACGAACACATGCTGTCTGTCATAACACTATGCTCCTTATATTCTCAAAGCTAAAGACGTAGTTATAATTAATTATTTCATGACCTACAATAACATTAAATATAGATAAATAAAAATCGAAATTTTAAATATGTTAATTTCTTTGAGCGTTTAGTTTATTCTGTTGTGGATATATGGTAAAATTTGTATAATAATGAGAAAATAAAGGACCACCTTTTGCATGACTCTCTCAACAGGAATTTCAAATTTATACGTCCACAGTAAATGTATCATAAAAATAAACTTTTTATAATACACCTAATGTGAATTTCTATTTCTGATAAAGCTGTCTATTTTAAAATTAAAATATTTGGTGGAAAAAAAAATCTAGAAAGAAGAATCCAGAGGATAATTAGTAGTAACTGATCCAGTGGGTCTCCAGATCTCCCTCCTCCCCCTTTGTATTTTCCGAGTAATTAACATTACCTGTGATTTCTTTGATTAACCTGGTATATGAGCAGCTTTTATATGTGTGCTTTTATTTTGAATACAGTATACACGTAGTTAGCGTTGACGGAGTTATCTCGCTCTGCATAGAGGGAATGTAAATGGTCAAAGACTGACTTTCCTTTATACATGTAATTGAATTCTTTAAGTGAGATGATGTGTTACAACCATCAGCGTAAAAATGTCCTTTAAAATGAAAATATTCATGTTTCACTACATGTACCACAAGGGACAATCAAAGCTTTAATATATACATGGAATAATTTAGGGAAAATGAAAAGCTTTAAAACTCTTCTTCTCAACAACAGCAAAGCCACGATCTGTCATATTTACATGTAAACGAAACCATCCTTAGGTAGTGTAGGTTCAAGTTTATTCAAATCATGACTTCGGAGGATGGTTAGGCTACAATGCTAGTATGTGATCAAAGTTTTTACATAGGAATATATGCAGAAAATACTGCCATAGTGGCTCAGGTGAGCGTTGTGGTGTATGGGTCTTTTTTTCAAAAATGAAGGGGGATACGTTTTGCTAAATCATACATCTACATTTACATGTAATAAATATCAACAAATTATCGACAATTTATCTTTTCTAGAGAGGTACAGACCTGTTTACCCAAATTGTTGTCTCTCAGTATTTTTCATTACATTTGTCAGTGAGATTTGGCATTTGCCCGTAAGATTTCACTTTTCATCGACTGTACATAATTATTACTAGAAAACAACTACATTTCTGATTACCAAAATATGGTTTAATAACAAAGCAAAACATCATACCCTGCTTTCTTTTGAGTGATTTCTGTCATTTTTTAAACCACCGCGTTTTGGCAACTTAAATGTTTGAAATTTTTATCTTTTTTAGCGATTAAAAAGCGTCAAACTTAGACAGATAACGAAAACTAATTGCTAAAATTCATGTGAACGGATTTCCGTATTTTCGTTATAGCAAAACGTGAGACGTATTTTGGACTGAAAATCCATACAAAATACGGCGAAATCGTAAGAGTAAACAGGTCTGGAGGTAGTATAGAATAATCCATTTAATAAAAAGGCCACTCCTTTATTTCTTTAATTTATTGTTACTTCAGATGAACTACATATTAATTCGTAGACAATTCTCTCATGTGTCCCATGTTGAACACAGGCTCCTGCATTTCTACGAACTTCCCACATCTTGATGCGAGTAAATTTGAGCTTCTGAGAATAATGTTAGCGCAGTAATTTTACAAAATTACACAGTCTTTAATTAAATCTTTTGGGGGGTCAAAAAGTCTCTTAAGTTTGGAGAGTATCTGTCTATTGCAAACCACAATCCTGTTGAAATGTCCATAACTCCTTTTGGACACTTTCAGGAAACATGCAGAAGGGTTAGACATTTCCACCTTCTTTCCATTTTGGTAAAATAAATCGCAGAGCAGTATAAGTGCCCCATCATCATCCATAACCATTTCATCTTCTTTCTTGAATTTTATTAGCATTTCTTTTTTTTAACAGACTTTTTTTTCATCTTCTACCCATTAAGAAAATATGCATTTTAGTTTCGAAAGTTGACCCAATAGTTTTCATCAAGATTTCGCCTATGTTAGCTCTCCAAAAAATATTAGTACATGTATAAAAAATCTTATAAGGGTTACAAAATTACCTTTTCTTACTAGAAATAAATGATAAAAATGTTTTGTAATTACAAATGAATAATTTGTAATTTCAGATTGATAATCTGTAATTGAAATTAATTATCTGTAATAAGAAATAAGAAAAAATACAGGTGCAGCCCTTAGAAGCCCATAGAAGCTTCCATAAAACTATTACATTTCAAGACTAAAATACATTATATGTTCTTATATTCAAATCTAAACTATTATTCATTATTGTAAAAGTAGAGCCATCTGACTTCCATGTTACTCATGTTAGATTAGATGTATCCTCTCACAAGGAGGTTGTGGTATCAACATCAATGAACATATTTCTAACATTTATTCTCTATCTTGCTGCACAAGATAAAACCTCTTAATACACATGTACATACACATGGCTTCAATAGAAATATAGCACATGCTGTTTTACCCCCCCCCCCCCTTCCTCAAAATAAAGCTTTTCGAGTCCCATCCTCAAACACAAGACTCAAGGTAATGGACAATCTTATTCATAATTTCAAGCTACAGTTGAACTTTGGTATCTCGGAAACTGATATCTCAAATAACATGGATATGTCAAAGTGATTTGGAAGTTCCACCCCCTTATTCTTTAAGTATTTTACCATGGATATCTCGAATCCTCAGATTTCTTGAAGTTTTTTCCAAGTCCCATTGAGTTCGAGATAATGAGTTTTTACTGTATGTCTTCTTTTTCAAATAAATTTTATAAATTAAAACCTATAATATTGAAGTATAAATATAATTTATAAAGTCAATTATCTACATTAAAATATAAGCTAAAGAAGTTTTAAAATATAAGCTTAAGTAGTTTAAAGTGTTCCACATTATTTATTTGTAGGTAAAACAAAATATATTATTCATATACAAGAATAAAATCCATTTATTTTGATGGAGAATCCTTGAATTTCATATTAGGATTATTGGCAGGCCTCATTCCCTCACAGACCAATGAATCTTCTGTTCCAGGTTGGGCACAACACTCCTTCAGTGCATCTATAACAGGTTGACACTTTTCTCTGTTGAGCTTGTAGACTGTCAAAAAAAGAGCAATTTTCAAACATAGTTTTCAGGAGAAAAAAAATATATAGTGAAGCTGTAACCTTGGTAACATATTAATTACTGTCAATTAATGTTCATACAAAAACCAATTGTATTAATAATCATAATAATGCATGTATTACAAAAAGGTAAGATATATGATATTATTCTCCTTGCAGATGTGGGCAGACATAGTCTACATCCATGTAGGCTATGCTTCTCCACCTATTTATCAGTTTATAGAGAATAGAGACAAGAAAAAAAAAACTAATTTATTAAACTGGTCGATTCTTAACACAACTTATTACCAACAAAACATTGCTGAATGTCACAAGCTTGCTTCTGACACGGATCTCTCTTCTTTTTTGGCATTGGTGTCTTTCATTTCTGGTGCCCCAACCGCGGAAATTCGAACTTGTGAATTGAGAAAATTCGGGATGAAATATTAAACACTTCATACTAGATATACTCTTAAGTTGTAATCTGTCTATTTAAACATGTACAGCTTAAATCAAAGAAACCAATATGTTCCAATATGTTTAACAAATGAATCTTATCTTATAATTGGAATTTTCACTTAATTTTTATTCCAAAGTAATGAGTCAAACCTTTTTTCTTGTCTCCTTGTCACAATAAAGGAACGGGTTAATTATAAATGTTGAAAGAACCCGGATGAGCATTGGAGACGACAAAATATACTTGAAAACAGAAATCGCAGAAGAAAGGTGTAATTATATGTGTGGGAAACATGGCACCAGTACAGGGGATATGGGGTGCTCCGACTTCTACCATTGATTGGTGTGAGGAAAACTATCATGTTACCCCACTTATTGCTGAATTTTGTAAGTATTTACTAAAAGTTGCGCAGCAGTCAACTTTGCATCATTGACACTGTATCGCACGTGCATTATTATTAACGATTGCATTAGCGTCAAGCAGTATTGTCAAACCAGATAGATTGAGCATAACAGTGCTGATGTATCGATGTTTTGAAAACCGTTAATAACTCTTCGTAAAAATAAAAATCATGATAGGTTAAACCACTTTTTG